CTCTTCTGGTTGGATGTATGCATTACACTATTCCCAGTTTAAATTATTGTTTGTCACCATTCCTGTCAAATTAAGGACATTCATTGACCGTGCTGATTCATATTTATAGTTTGTAGCATATTTAGCTAAACCGATTCTAATATTACTCATTAATGATGCACCTTTTTTTTATAGACACTTTATCAAAAATATTTAACAGCTTATGTATGACCTGACACAACTGACCCATTGATGCACCATAAAATAATACATACATGGCATACACTAAAAATACAAATGGAACAGGACTAGAGAAATAAAATACATTGTTACTCACCCATCAGAATCACATGCAACCCTACATTTGGTTGCAGAAGCCAAGAGTGAATGAGCAGCTATATCCCTGTTAGCCAATCGTGTCTGCTGGACCCAAACACAGATAAAGACGAGCAGGTAGCAGGAACAACGCAATAACTTAATTGACAAAATACTAACAGACTAGAATCTAAAAGAAAATAGCTGAAAACTACAGGTGAGGTATCCGAATTTCAAACAAAAAAGTAACTATAAACCGAAAAAAGGAGCAACAGAGCAGGTATTTGTAGACCCTTTAGCTGCTGGGCCAATGGGACACAGGGGGAACGAATTAGGGCGGGTCAGGTAATCAAATTGGCGGGAAAACAAACACACGAAGGCAAGAGGTGAGTGTCCTTTCAAAATAAAACAGGAAACAGAAAAACCTGAAGCCAAGGTTTTGACAATTTCCTCGAAAACTATGTTATTTGTTGAAGAGATGTGCATTTTTAAAACAGATATACTCACATGTGGGCAGTTTTTTGTGTGCCCTCTCATTAACACAAAACTTTGACAAAGGGACATGTTCAAACATATTTTAAAAGAAAAATAACACACAAAAGACAATGAAACAATAAAACACAATGAAAAAGGATGTGGTTCCTACTAATTCAAATGCTTAAATAATGTGTGAAAATAACCATTACTATCCTCCTGTGTGGACTCTCATGTGTGACTTCAGACTAATCCCTATAAATGTGATTTAATTATAAATTAGACTCAAAGTATTATCTTAAAAACTTGAGAACTTGGCTTTATTGATGTGAAATTCCCCAGCAATAATACATTGTCTACTGAACTTTCTGGTTGTTGTTTTATTAGAAATCAGGTAGATATGTTTATGATGTTTAACACCGCCCCCCTCCGGGCTGCACTCACATGTCTATCATGTGTTTCTGCTCTCTGACTCCGCCCAGCTCCCCCTCTCATGTTATGAAAGCAGGGCAGTCTACACATCGGAGTCCTCTGGCTGAAAGGCTCGAGTCGGAAGCTGGTAAAATGAGCTGTTTTATCATTCTTTTTCCACACAAACACATTTTCTCAGTGTGTTTTCTTCGACGCTGTCATAACGTATTGCATGCGTTGTCTGTCTCTAGTGTGGCACTGGTTTTACCATAGCCTATGCAAGATAACAGCCCTCATATAACATGTTCTGTGCATTGTGCCAGCACTCAGAACACAGTGTTCCCTCTGTTTGTTCCAGCCTCTGAATACTGAGTGAGAACATTCATGATTCATGCATTTAAGTTCAACTTTACTCTTACATTACATGTCTTAATTATATTTTAAATGTTCTGATATCTTTATTTATTTCCAGTTATATGACTGTGTAGTGTGTAGTGGCCGTATGCATGTGTCCATGAAGTCATAAGGGGTCATAACTTAAGTGTTCATTTTATAGTTTCTTTGTGTCTTAGAACTAAGTCAAGGATAAAACAACACATTATTTGATGTGTTTTTTCTGACTTTAATCTTTTAGTTTCCTTCATGGCTTTTCTCTTCTTACTATTTCTTATTTAAAGATTCTGAAATGTAAACATTTGCTGGTTGTTGGGGGGTTGGGGATCCCCGATTACTCCATTTTATAGTGGAATTTACATTTTGTGTACTATTTAACAACAAATATATATTTTAGGCATTTTCAAAAATAAATGGGAGTAATCTGCATCTGTAAATGGTACTCAGTAGTTAAGAAGTTTAGATTTTTTTCATTATTTTGAAATTCTTACGATTCAGAATCTTAGTAGATGCAAATGTTGATTCTATAAGGAATCCAATTTTTCCTCCATCCCTTTTCTAAAGGTCTACGGTGTTCACTTTGATGCACTTATACCTTCTATTTTCTAACTAGTTTTTGTTCTCCGTGCAGATCCACTATGCTTCGTGTCACCACTGCCTCCCTGTGCTCCTACTGCCAGAGGATAAGGCTGCTCGTCCCTAACTCTGCCTCAGCCTTCACAGTGACATCCCCCAACAAAAAACCTGAGAACCAGCTCACCGTGGACTCCCTCTACGAGCTGTCGGTGGACATCCGGAAGGTTCGCAAGTTCAAAGCCTGGGTTCTGTCTGAGAAATCTTCGTATGTGTCTGAAACGGCTGACGTGTTGAGGGACATGGGGGCGGACACAGCAGTGATCGCTCTCATCCTGGAGACCCACCCTGAGGCGGTCCTCTGTCGGCCCGAGGACGTGGCCGCTCAGCGGGACCTCTGGGTGTCCGTGTGCCCCAACAAGCGTGAACTCATGGGGATCATCGAGAAGTTTCCGGCCTCCTTCTTCACATTGACTCACTATAGCAACCAGCGGGACAACATCCTCTACCTCCAGAGCCTGCACCTCAGCAACAGGATCATCGGAAAGCTGATGGCCAGCGCCCCGCAGAGCTTCAGTCGCCCCGTGGTGCTGAACAAGGAGGTCATCCACACGCTGAGGGAGACCTACCTGGACCTGGGCGGAGATGAAGGCAACCTGCGCATCTGGTTGCAGAAACTCCTCAGCCAGAACCCGTTCATCCTGCTGCGGCCGGCTGAAGCCTGGAGGGACAGCCTGGGCTTCCTGAGGGAGCAGGGCTTCTCCACGGAGGAGCTCCTCGGCCTGGTCTCCAGCCTCCGAGCCTCCATCGCAGAGCTGCGGCCTGAGTGCATGCAGCAGGCCCTCGCCTTCATCGAGGAAGCTTTCGAATGCTCCAAAGACGAACTCAAGGTAATTGTGATCCACTGCCCCGCCATTTTGTACTACTCTTTACCAACGCTGGTGGCTCGGTTTCACGGACTGATGGATGTTGGAGTGAGCATGGAGCAGGTGAAAGAATCTCCAAACGTCCTGGAGCTCACCACTGAAATCGTGCTTTATCGCATCCAGAAGCTGGCGTCTTACGGGTACGACGTGCGCTCCGGCAGCCTGGACGTTGTCGTGGGAACCAAGAAGGACTTTGAGATGAGTTATGGAAAGCTGCAGCTCCGGCAGCAGAGGCCGCTCTTCAACCCCGTAGCTCCTCTCAGATCTGCTGAGGACTGAATGACAGAATTTATCGATATGCTGCCATTGCACAGTATGAGGAAAATATGCAAATAGTTGTTGAATATCGCAATAACGATTTTTTTTTTAAAAAGATAGAAGTGTGCTCTGTTCTGGTGCTTTCAGTATACTTAAGTAAAACGTCAAAATGCATTATTGTTTTATTGAACAAATTGAACTGCACCAAAAAAAAGAATGATAGCTACATTTTAAAGTGCAATTTTCTACTGAAACTACTCAGTATAGATGTACGTTGATGTCATGGTGATGACTTAAAAATAGATATCTTGCGCATTCCTAGTTGCAATATGCTGTTTATAAAGTGATTGTATTGGCGGGAAAATTTTATTTGATGCTGATTTTGGGAGGGGTTTACAAATTCATCATTCTTGCAAGACACAATAAAGAGGGAGGCAGGTTCAAGTAAAAAACAAACCTTTAGCAATACAGTTGTTTCTGTTGAGAACAACTTTATTATGAAACTAATACCTCTCCGCCTGTGGCCTTCATTATGCTGAGTGAAGATATGACACTGTTTCAACTACAGAAAACCACCAAGTACCGTATCTTCTGTGACAACTGTTGGAATAGTGAAGCGTGGAAATGAGTGCCGTCCTTGTTAATCAAGATGTACTACTGTACTTACAAAATGATTGTGGTTACTGTGCAATAATAAATGGCACATACAGTATAACTATGTATTTGTATTTTCTTTTATCGTTTCGGTGTTAAAAAGCTGCTTTTCCTATCAGACTCAATTAGAAAAGTCAATATTCAGGGAAAACCTTTGCATGTACTGTATGTGTTGATGTGTAGAGTCAACAGCGCAATGGTATTACTAACTATAACCTACAAAAGTTGCATTTGAATAGGTTTGCCAGATGCCGAAATAAGACACTTATTCCAGTTTTTTCTAAAGGTTAAACGATTTACAATTCGTCAGTTCTACATTTAAAGAATAGACTTAAACCATTTGTATAGTTAATCAAGTTTATTAAAGAAGCAGTTCTCTCTAAAAAAATAATAATAGATGGTATTTATGTAGCTTCTCATTGTGCTCAAAGACGATTATGTAGTACACTTATTGAGGCTTATACAAGGTGGCAGATTTGAAGAATATGTATTTCTGTCGGCTTTTTTCAGTAACAGTTGATCTGGCAACAACTTGATAAAAACACTGATATGGCCTCTGCAGTGTTGATGTTAAAATCAGTAGCAGAAAGAGAAAAGTAATGATTGAAACACTTGTTGATAGACATCTTGTACGGCTTAAAAAGGAGTAAAATTAGATAGTCGAACAAGTGAGAGAACAGGCAACTGTATTAGGGTAGATACAAGATTTATCAAATTGTTTCGCTCTTGAATGGACATTTTAAAAAGGTTGTTTTATTCAAAATGTTCAAAAAAAACAAAGATCCGTCCACAATGATTTCATATATCAAAAATATATCAATGGGTCTATGGCTACATAGAGAAAAAACGCACATACAATATTCAAATATGTACAAGTTGTATGTCAAATTAGCAAATTCATTATATACACATGGACTGTTGTCACGACTACGTTAACCTAAAGATACGAACACAGTCGCTTCAGAGTCGTCAGTACGTCGCAGTGCTTTGAAGTCCACATGATAATATTCAGTCCTGTTTGTGTGTTTAATGATGCTCCTGTTAAAGTGCAACAGTCAAGTGCTGGGACAAAAGTGTAAGTCTTCACGTCCATTTTGTGTTGGCTGTGTGCAAATACTCCTGTAAGGGGAGAGAAATCACACATTAACTGACAACGAAAAATGATTCAGCAAATGACTCATCACACCTGATAAATGCAAACTGGGCCAGGGAAGATGTATTGGCTTTACATGATATATATATGGGAAAATTCGTAATACTTCTGGTGAATTCTAACATAAATATAGCTGTTAAAGGGAATATTTGTATATCAATTACTCATCCTGTTGTACCTTAATGCAAATCATTGGTTTTTCTCACCTACCTCCGTGCAAAAGAAGATTCCAAAAACTCAGTGATATGCATTCATACTAAAACCTCATTAATATATAATATGTCTCCATTAAAAGTATTTTCCTACTCGTCTAATTATTCGTAGGGGGTTTGAAATAAGTTTCCAGCTTACGTTTAGTGTGTACTCTGTCTCTGGATTTTAGAGCCTCTGCCATCCCTGGGGTCCTCGCAGGGTCTTTTCCCACCGGACAGAGTGGAGACGTGGTGTTCAGGTCCTGATGTAACAAAGAGAACAGTTTAGGAAGCTGACCCAGAAATACAATTTTACTATATCTGTTACTTTAGACAAAAAAGAGCTTATGATAAAGGTATTGGACTTCACAGGCTGTTTCTAAGGAGGAATTTTCATCCAAAGATACACCTTCAACCAATTCATATTTTTAGAGACTATGGCGCAAGTAACAAAAAGCTATTGCACATAGTATGCCGCTCACCAGATGGAGCTGCAGCAGCGTTGTGTGTACTATCAGCAGAGAACCCCATCCCTTCAGAGGACGTCTCTCCGTTACCGTTAGAGATGGAGGGAACTGAAGCCAGAAGGCCTGAAGACACAGACAGACAGTCAGCAGCTGACACAGACTATAGTTACTTTAGACAAATACGCAATCAATGCAAATTACTGCTAGTTCAGAATGTTTACAATAACCAATGGTGAGTTTCCATGTTGAGTTTAAAATACTTGAACTACAGGTAGACCTGTAGCCTAAGGCAGGTTCTTGTTGGCTATTTTCTTTTCTCTAAAGGTTATAATTGTTGACATGATTATGTTGACGGTCTTAAGAATGCCTTGACCAATGAGATTTAAAAATGTGAACTAACCCTATTTAATTTTTTTAAATGTCATTGTAGTATTCCAATGTTATAACTATTTAGATAAATATATATTTTTTTTAATTATTTTATTTCTGAACAGATTTTTCTCTATTTTATTTCGCATTCTTAAATTGCATCAAAACATTTGTATAATACTGAAATGTTATCTAACTTGTTTGTGTTGTTCAACTCCTTACATAACCCTGAACCTACCCCTGCATATAAAATATGATTAATGGGAAAGCTGACAGAGGCAGAAAGGGCAAACTGGTTTAAGTCATTTTTAAGTCTAAATTAAAAAATAAGCAATGACCAGTTCTTTATGTTCTGAAGGGTAAAATCAGCCTCAGCATTTAAACCTGCATTATTTGTTTAAATAACGTCTTAAAAACTCACATGTATTAACTTTTCTCTGGTTAAATTAGACAACAATATTACAAGTTGATCCTCAGGTGGTATAATAAAGATTTGTAATAAGTGGATGCATCTGGTGGTCTGTCCTCACCGAAGCCTCTGTAGCAGGACAGCTGCTGGTAGATCTGCTTCATCCTCTCAATGTTGAGCCGGCTGGCCTCTGTGTGGTTCACCATGGGTTTGGGGTAATGCACTCCAATGATACACTTGGCTGCGTTCTGCACACCTTCTGGAGCATTCCAGGGATCATAAATGTACTTGGCTGGAAAGCCTCTGAGAATGGGCAGGTAGCGCCTGAGTGAAGAGATGAAGAAGAATTTATGCGGATGTCATTTATCGTTGTGGTATGATTTCACGACACAGGTTAAAAAGACTGTTAAACACCTGAATTGTCGTAACAACATCCATAACATTCATCTGCTACTTAGTAATTATTTATCTATTTATCTAATATATCATTCCAATAGCTTGCATATAGACTCTTATTTCACTATTTCACTTTTTTTAAACAATTTTTATTTTTGTATTTACTTTTTAATATTTACTTGCACTATATTTTTCTGTTTTTCTGTATTATTGTGTTGCACTGTTGGAGAAGCCTGTGACCTAAGATTTTCATAGACATAACTACAAATAAAGAACCTTGAAACACTAGCTATTAAGATATCAATTTAACATCCCAGTAACAATTAAAAGGTATCACTTTCTCAGCATACCGTATGTAGTCTCCGTTGGGGTCTGTGCGTCGGCCGAATCCCACCGGGCAGTAACAGTGGAAGAACTGCTGGAAGAAAGAGCTGCAGGAGAGCCACATCCAGCTGCCTGCGTTCACACTCCAGTCTGCATCCAGCAGCAGCTCCTCGAACACCTGAACACACACACAAGCCAAGATGTGGTTAATATCACATAAAGTAGTGTATACATTTGGATTTATTTTCTAAATAGCTTTAAAAAGGGTGTATTAACCTCATTGTTGGCATGTTTCTATAACCAGACATGCCTTAAAAAACGTCATTCCCTGTATTCTCCTGTAAAAATGTGTTATGATTCAGAAGGTTGGGTCATCTTAATAATCCAACTTGGTCATTTCAGTAGGAAAAGGAAAATGTAAATTGCAACAAACTAAAACAATATTGAGATATGAGCAAGAAAGTATATACTTAGATGAATGAATGAATTCAATGCCTTATAAGTATTTTTAAAGGACCTGTGGGTCAACCTGTAAGAATGAACAGAATAACAAGTACAAATAGCATTTAGAAATAAAATGTAGATAATAAAACTTGCAAATGTCTACCTTCATGCCCTCCTCCCAGCTGATCCACAGGTCCCCCCGGGTCAGGAAGCAAGCGACGGCGTGCCGGGCGAGGTGGTGGATCCAGCCCTCCTGCCTCAGCTGCGTCATGATGGCGTCGATCCAGGGGAAGCCCGTGCGGCCCTCCGCCCACTTGGTCAGCGCCTCGGGGTTCCGGTCCCACGGGATCTGAACACAGATGGGGTTGCTCTCCATCGTGTCGAAGCAGGGGTTGTTGGTGGCTGCCGTGTAAAAGAACTCACGCCACAGCAGCTGACCGTAGAGCGAGAGAGGGGGGGAGCTGTTCTTCTTCACCTGAGGATTAGTTTGTTAAAATCAGGAATAAAGCCTGAGTGAAAATGCTGAGTATTAGAGAAGATACAGAAGTCTACAAAAACGGCCAGGCATACAAAAATATATTTAAAATAATATATTGTTCTTAATCATACTTCCTTTTTGTGACTGTAACGGTTTGCTTTTGAGTATGAATTCATCATCACACCACAAGAGGGAGCTAGCGCAACATAGAAAGACGTCACCTCAATACAGATAATAAATAGGGAACCACTAGATAAAGTAACCTAAAACCCTTTTTATTTTATTTTTTATATATTTATAAATAATCCAGTAACAGTGCTTGAATCCTTACCAAAAACTAGCCTGAATTAAACGCAATTCACAAACAACTTATTCAACATCCAATTAAATTAGTTTTCTTAATCCATTAAATAGGAGATGTATATCATCAAAAGTAGTGTGCCAAGAGACTGTAGACTTCTATAAATGTTTTTATTTTTAATCCAAAATAATATAAATGTAGCATGAAAAATAAAAAGGACAAACCCTCTAATTTGTAACCTTTTAACCCACTTTAACCATTACAGTGTTCATCAGATATTTTAGATACTACATTTGTTCATTAATATGTTCAGATGTGTTTTAATGACTGACCTTCTTGTACAGGTCGGTAAGTTTGAAGTAGAAGAGGCGGCAGGAGAGGCAGCCGAAGCGCAGGTACGGGCTGAGGCCGGTCGGGCTGGCGAGCAGCGAGTTGGCGTTCATTCTGGGACGCTCGAAGTTGGCCACCCACGCCTGAAGGAAACAAGGAGGAATGATCAGGCATGAAAAAACTTGACAGCATGGTGTGATATCACAACAGGTGGCAAGGTTTATCGAAAACAGCCTTACATAATAAGGAAAACATGTTTAGTCAATAGCCAGAAGTAGCTGTTTTTTCTTTTAAATAACAAGACAGAAGCTAGTCCTTCTTTATCTGGTTTGACTGACCTTCCTCTCCAGATGCCTCTCGAGTCGTGTGAGGGCCTCTGTTTCTCCCCCCGGCCACACAGCGGAGGACAGACCTTCAGTATCAAAACCTGGAGGCATCACATTTAAAAAATATAAAAATTCTGACTATAATGTTGAATAATTTAAATGTGTGGTCATGCTCTATCTGAACACACACCACAAACCAAAGATTACTGATTCTCACCCAGCTCCTCCAATGAGGGGACACCAAACTTGTCATCGTGGTTCTCGGACAGCGGCGTCCTGCACTTCCCCATGATGTCCGCCGTGATGGAGTCTGCAGGCTCCTCCACCGCATCCATCCTGCTGATGAGGGTCTGGAACCGCTTGTAGGTCAGAGGTGACTGACCCCCATTTAACTTTATGATCCTGCAGGAGAGAAAAGAGAACACAAAGAGTCAAACACCAAATAGACACAGAGATAAAGTTCAATGTACATGCATTAAGATGTCACGCGGAACCTGGATTTATTTTTATTTTTTTACAAATTCTAACAACCTACAAACTTTTTTTTTTAAATAAATACTCCAGTAACAATGCCCTTATCCATACCAAAAACTAGCCTGAATCAAACGCAATTCAAAAAGGAAAACAACTTATTCGACATCCAATTAAATGTGTCATTTTTCTCCATTATACATTTGCTGACATTTTGCTTAAATGCTTTTTCCCAAATAAGTTATTGTGAAACATTCATTTGATTTTTTGATATTTGTTTTTTATTTCTGTTTTTTAATTCTTCCAACAGCTGCACTAAATATATTTCTTCCTACTGAAGAACTGGGTTTTTCATAACGAAAATCCTAAATGAAAAGAAAACCCAAAAAGATTTGGCTTTAAAGCAGAAGTGGTAAAGGGGTCAGGGGTGGAATGAACTCACTTGTTCAGGTCGTAGAGTGTGTGGGAGATGCGGACAGTCACCTCCACTCCAGCCTCACAGGCCAGTTTCTTAATGGCTGCATCTCGTTCTTTCCCGAAGGGCTCCGAGTCGTACTCAAAGGACAGACGAGAAATATTCCATTCCTGGAGAACCGGGAATTAACAAAAGTTAGCTACAGAATAAACTAAACAGGGTTTGTTTAAGGCTTTAATGGTGAATCAGACTTCACCTTGAAGAGTCTGGGAAAGACATCAGTGGGTTGGCCTCGGATCACAAACAGTCGAGAGTTGAGCTTACGGAGGCTGGAGTCCAAGTCCTCCAGACTCTGCAATAAGAACCTGAAGGACAACAGGGACAGAGAAACAACATAAAGCTGAATGCTCAAAAATATGACAAGTGGAAGCTGGAAAAAGAGACTGTGTGTTACTTTCAATCAAAGTTTGGAGGTTAAACAGCTAAACCTGATTAGGTTGTCAGAAAATTATGTTCAGACAACCTAATCCAAGAATCCATTGTATTCACGTTAATGAGGATATAAGACGAGATCAATATAAATTAAGGAGGGACGTAAGCATTTGGATTCTCTACACCCAATCTGCAGGCATTGTGTGCATCCTTTTTTGACAACTTGCTGTGAAAAGTGTTCATATATGTGTCACCTGGGGATTTAAATTCATCTCCCAAAATAATCTGAAGGTTCTACAACGTACGCAGAAAGGTTTGACCCAGATAATGTCTGGAAGCCGGGGGACACGGGAGGACAAGCAGCCATCTTATTGCTGCTGAAGAAGCGCATTTCGGGTAAATATGTCCTTGTTGTTAGATAACAAGGGGGAAAAAGACATCCTTGAAACTATAAAAAATGCATGAAAGCAACTGCTGCAGGGGACTCTATTTTTAACAGTGTCCTGGTATATGGTTTTATATAACTTTAAATGATCTCTCTCTCCATTTATACGGCAATTAATCCCAATGACAAATAACTGTCTGCAACCTTCACCTCTCACATTATCACTGCAGTATTTTGGACCTGAATATAGTAGAACTACACAGTGCAATTGAACATTCATCCCTTCAGAAAAGCCTAATTTAACCTCCACTGTTCATGAATAAAAGTGTGATATGCTTCGGCAGCAGAATGTCTTATACTGCAGTGTTACTTTCAAACAGCATGTTGACCTTTACCGTGTCCCATTCACAGAACTGACTATAATACATGATTAAAATCCAAGCGGTTCGTTAAAATTAGAACCGTCTTTTGTTTTTATGTTCCTTACAAAATAAGAAACCTTGCCATACACACACCTGCTTGCAGACCGAGAGGCAGTATGGTGGTGCTTCCTGCTCTGTTGCTATAGGTACCACACTCTGTAGGAGGCTTCCTGTATCACCCAGGTCTAATCAGGTCTTACTGATATTAAAACCGGCTCACTGGAGGCATCAGGAGGCAGACCCAGTCTTATCTGATGGCCACTGAAAACCTGTCTAATATCTCAGCCCAGATGTATCCTGCCAGTCTGGTATTGAGTCCCGGCATATCACTAATAAATCACAAATAAGCTTTTCTGAATTCCAGGGTCAACAAAGACAGACCATCGGACTAGAAAAAAACGCATCAAGGGTTAAGCTATGTTTATATAGGGTGATAAGATAAAAACAAAGCTCTTAGCAATTCCCAAAAATATTCATTTGCTTTTATTTTAGACCAAAAGAGAAATGTATGAATATTAAAAAAAAACTAATACAAATGAATAATGAAAATCATTGTTAGTTGTAGCCCTTGTTTGGGCTAAGTGTCATATGATTCACAATATACCAGGTAGTGATTTTCATTGAACAAATATGTAAATAATAGTGATGCGATTCTTTTTTGATGATCTGTAACAAAAAATAATTCTTTGATAATTTGGTAGAATACGATTTGTAGGCTGTAACATCTCTGCAACACCATAACACTTCATGAAGAGTGGTTTTGAGACATATTTAGCTTTTTAAGTAATATGGCCTCCTGCTATTTGGATATTGCATTAGTCCACAGTAGGCTTTCAATTACTTTTTTCAGCCCTAGCTCACGCTGTTACAAGAGTTAATAGGGGTCGTAAGCAGCAGCAGAGGAGGAAAAGTAGGTAAAAAAGACCATAGAAGGTTCACTACTAACACACTTACCTACTTGTGCAATGCATGGAGATGTCGGTGGAGAGGGAAAGTCATTGGAGGTTATGTAATCTGTGATTGGCCGCCTCCTGCACTGAGGATGCTCCCTACATCTGCTCACTGATTCATAAGCTACTCTAATGATAGCAGGAGGGTGAGAACAAGCGCTAATTACAGACGCTACAGGCTATAGTGAGCTTCTGATAGCCTTCAGCATTATCATCACGTTGCATCAGCGTGACAGAAATGTTCCAGAGCCTGATAACTATCAATACCACTATTTTAGTGTTTAGTCTAAGTGTCATAAAAACCTGTTAGTTTGTTGTTGTTGTTTTTTTTGAAGGGGCACATTAGTCAATTTGGATTTGGACAGTACAATGTGTCATTACAATACAAAAGTCCTTCAGTGAATCCTGCCTTCCTGCAAGTTATAATGTTCAGGATATGTTGAAATTGTTTAGAAGTGGTGTTGATTTAACTGTTAATTTAGAGGTGGTTGGCGGCACTGTTAAGTTGTATTAAGCGATAAAGATGACACATTTTCATACCTATGGCCTTAATAAAGACGAGATTTGGAATCTCACAATATTTTATGTCGACTTCTGATGTTAAAGAAATTAAAGGTAATGAACCAGGGATTACTGAGTGATCTGCGTGGGAGCTCTGTATCGTCACCCCAGACTGTTGATGCATAACTGTTGAAGGGTAACATGGACGCTCCTTAAAAGGCTGTCGGTGCTGCTGCCCTACTCTTCCAGTGACGGCATGGGACCAATATGCAAACTAGAGCGCACAGTGGCCAGGAGAGCTATGCCCAAACATCCGGCGAGACACCGACTGCACTGTGAAGCTCAGAGCTGTTCCATTCTGCTGCAGCAGGTGTGTATATGCAAGCCTTAATACAGGAGTTCCTAAACAGAGGCAGTAAACTGGCTGCAGGCTACAGCACACGTGTTCGGGGTGGTGATGAATTAATGTCTGGGTCACACAGAGCAGGCTGGGTAAATAAGATGCCAACGAGGTTCAGCAGGATTGATTTTAGGGCTATAAAAAGGTGGAGAATAAAGCCAGTGCGTTGTAAGTTTGCACATTACACTCACATAACACCTCACTCCTATCTCAACCACTTGAGCCTGTAAAGCTTCATACACCAGACTTAAAAAGCATGTCCCTATCTTGACCTCATACATGCAAACACTTAATGAATTCAGGAAATGTCAGTTACAATGACAGTTACAAAATGTAAGTATTATTCATGATTTGCCTCTTTACCAATGGTGTGTGGGTATTAGTGTTGACATTTTTCCAACTATTCAATAATCGTTTAAGTCTGTGGAACACCAAATGTAACGTGAAATCTTCAAATGTCTTCCACTTATAGTCCTAATATGCAGATAATCTAACATATATCACAAAAAGAAGTAAATCCTCTAATTTGACAGGCTAACATCAGAAATTATTGGGAATTGTTTCATCATTTCTGTTAAAGATTACTGAAACAATAGCGTTTGTTTTTCTTTACTATTACATTACCACTGTGTCTAGGCCAAAATAAATTAAAAAAACATTTCCCTATTTTTACCTCAGGATTTAGCACATTAGTCACTTAGAAGAGTGGAAAGTGTCTACTAATCCCCATGGGAGAATTAACTAATGTCTTTGACACTGCATCAGTCCAGTACAAGCAGTGCTGCTGCTGTAAGTAGTGAGAAGCTATAATGTTTATAGACGGCAATCCTTTTGGATTACATTACATGTTACTTGTTAGACGCTTTTATCCAAAGCGATTTACATACTCAATACTGTGGGCAATCCCCACAGGAGCAATTTGGGGTGAAGTGTCTTACCCAGGGACACAACGACATGCTGACTGCAGTGGGGTTTGAACCTGTGACCCCCTGATCCGAACACCAACGCTCAACCCACTGCACCACACGCCTCCACCATCACACATGAATTACAGTTTAGCAGTGAAATGAGGATCAACATGCCAAAATAGTGTTTACCCAATTTCAGATCTTACTCACCATTTAAGAAGGAGAAACGACCCATTAATTTTTACCACTATTAATTATGTATCTGGAAGTCAAGTGATGTTTGGTTTATGATAATTACTGGGTAGAGTAATCATGATGTAATGGAGGAGTGCAAACCAATTATCACTCATCTTATTGACAATGTTATCAATGGCTGTTCATTATGGTGTTAACAAATATCAAAATGATGTCAGTACTATATCAGTCATAATCCAGATGATGTAAAACAAACAGTTTTATGATATTATCCGATTGAATGTAGAGACAGACAATGTTTATCTTCTGAAACATTTAAGAGGATTACAATTTCCTTCTGTGCCATAAACAAAACATACAGAGTGGCAGTCAACATCTCAAGGAAACACCTGCTGTAAACAAATTCAAAATGCGGTTATGTTTTACATGCTTTCTATATTTGGTATGTTGTGTGCTTTTCTCTTGTAGTCACACAAAACATTGTGTGACATTTTAATAGATAAAGGTGCCAATGTGTGCACCAACAAGCACAACAGATATTGCATAATAGTTACAATAAACCACAATAAAGAGTCATCAAGGGGTCAATAGGGGTTATTATCATATATGAAGTAGAAATACATGAAATAAATATATTTTTAAGATGCTGACAACATCAAAATAGTTTCCAACCGCCTAATCAATTAGTCGACTCATCATTGCAACTTTATTAAAAAGGCACAGAAAAGCCAGAAACATAATTTCTTAGGGGTTGGAAGTAGCAGATGCTTGAAAAGTAACCGAAAATAATTATTGAATGTCCAAAAATCAATTGACTGATCAATTTATCAACTTAAAATCGGATATAAGCACAAAAACACAATGCAAATACGGCACAGTACCTGCATTTGGTGCAAGAAGAGTAACAAGGGGCAGGGATTTAGAATTATATTAAAATAAATCACAGCATCCAGATATTCATGGATTATTTAATGATCTGCAATTCATAAAAAAAAAAAATCATAATTAATTTTAGTCTATGAAACGTCAAAACATTGTCAAAAATATGCAAAATGTTCAAAAATATCACAATAACATAAGATCAAAAATAATCACTCATGTAAGAGGCTGGAATAAGAGAATATAGGAATTGTTTTAATACTTTTGTTTTGTAAAAGTAATTTAATCGATTATAATTTAAAAAAATCTAAATTCGATCGATGTATCCACTAATCATCGGATATAAGCACAACTACATTATGTAAATAAGGTACATTGCATGCATTTGCTGCAGGTGGGGTAATGGGTGTGCCATTAACCAGACGTGCATGGATCACAGTGAGGGGCTATGTGAATGGTGCCTCCTCTGTTACAATGAAATGCATGAATGCACGCCTGCAGGGACGTGGGAAGTAGGGGTGCTGAGGGTGCTGCAGCACCCCCTGGTGGAGGACAGGGGATCTCCACTTCTACAAGATATAATACAAATATAATACAAAAAAAACGAATTTCCAGCCTTGATTTAACAACATTCATAATTAAGTAAAGATAACACCCTTTTCACCGCATTTACATTTTCCATTTGCCCTGTACGATGGGCTGTAGTGATGAAAGTGGGGGATGTTGGCTTATCAGGCGCCCGCAGCTCACAGCCAAAGTGAGAGAGATAGAGAGAGGGGGTGCACCGGTACCGGCGGGGATTGTTGTTAGCTTCTGTTGCGCTAACGGATATAAGAAACTGTTTCTACAATAATGTGGAGGGAGAGTTCTGTCCTGTCAGACTGAGAGGCTCAGTGAGGTAAAGGACTCTGAGGGTTTAGATAGTTCACTTAGTCTAAATTATCTCAGTGAATCTCAAACGTATTGATCACAATTTATGTAAACAAATCTTTCCAAGGTACACCTTTATAATTATTAGGATAAATAAAAGACTGCCAAGGCACACCTTTATAATTATTAGGATAAATAAAAGCAGGTTTGAAATCATTCCAATGTATACTATAGGACAGTAAACCAAAAATATCGTTTAAAACTGGAGAGATTTAAAAATCTGCATAAATAAATAAATGTTAACTGGTAAAATAAGATATGAATGACCAACAAAAATAAAGTAAGTTACATTTATTTGTTATTGGCTATGGTGGGTTATTGGTTATGTTCACATACTTATTTGATTAATAAAATGCAAACCGATCTTTCTCATATGGGTGTTTAGAGTTGTACCCCCTAGATCAGTCTCTAGTAATTGGGCGCTCAAAGTGCACCAGATTGAAGCATTTTACTAAAATGTTAAAAACATCTTCCCGGGGGGGCACCCCCGGACCCCCCTAGAGTATGTGAAGTCCACCCCCCAATTAAAATATGTTATAATACTAAATACATTTGAAGCCTTTTTATATAAGCTGTCCACCATGTCAATATGTTTCTCTTTTTGTAGTGGATTGGTCTTTTGTAGAGGTTTTTCATTGCCAGCTAAAATATTGCCTATAGGGCAGCACATTGGTCAGAACCAGCCCTGGTGTCATCCCCACAGCACCCCCCATTTGAAACATGTTCCCACGGCTATGCACGCGTGTGTGGATGCTCACCTCCATCTGTTGATGCCAACGTTGGAGGATCCTGCGAACCAGGGGTCGAGGATGTAGACACAGCGGACAGTATCCGCCCCCAGAAGGGAGTCCTTCAGCGACGGGTTGTCATGGAGCCGCAAGCCCTTCCTGAACCAGTGGATCGTATTAATGACCATTACTCAAGTGGACGAGTCCTGGTTTTCCTTTGTGTTATTTAAGTCTATTTTCTTACTCCAACTCACTGTTTGGTTACAAAAAATATATCGAAGGACGTAAGACCAGATCACAGGGAATCCAAATGTCAAAAGAAAAGTATGCTTTTTCAGCTCGTATGCTATTGAAGCATACGGCTCGTTGCTTTTTAGTGACGCAGTCCAACTTTGCAATTAACCTTGTTCTAACAGAACTTTTTCCATAATGTCGAAGAATTTAAAAATAGTATAGGCTGATGAACTATTTGGGCAAGATGTGCAACCCGGTGGGCTTTAGGACCCAGTCCGCTGACAGGCAGTCATCTCGTTTTGCGTTGTATAACTTGTTTTTCTGAAAAAAGCGTGTATAATGATGCACTACAATGCTTCTGTATAGCCTACCTGCACTCTGAATGAATAGCAAGAAGCAGAGGGATCAACTAGCCTGTCAATTCAAATTGTTTCTGTTATCGGTCAGAAGTCACCGTGGAAACAGGCTGCTCCTCGCCGTGTTATGTAAACACTGTTCCTTCGATGTTCTCAAGAGGGTCGTCCTAAAACAACCTGAACATAAAAATAGCTTTGAAAAATCATTCTCCGTCCCGTTTGAGTCTTCTCCTGCACTGTCAGTCGGATGTTTTTGAGTACATTTTCCTCAAAGTCCACGAATAGATGATCGATCTTCTCGCCGCACCTACAAGTGTGACCCCGCCCAGACTAAGCTACCAGCTTTCTGATTGGTCTAAAATGCTCAGTGCGTTGTCTCAGCGATGTCACGTACTGCAGCGTGCTTTCCAGAAGCTGGGACAGTTGTACATTTAAAATGAACATAATTGTGTTTAAAATGTTGAATTATATCCTGTTATGGTAGTCCTGACGTCTTTAAAAAATAAAAAATACTGCACGTTTTGACCTGTTTTGACACAGGTAGGCTACGCAGTAGTAGCCTAGTATTTCTTTTTTTGTTTACTACAAGTATGACAAGCTAATAATACATTGTTTAATGATTAATAGTTGTATGATATGTGTGCACTGCACATACACTTAGAATACATATTGTTGGTGTATAAACGTAACACTTTAAATGTATCAACAGAAAACCCGACCCCTACACACTCAGCCAGCTGGCTTGTTGACAGTAAAAGAACCCGGATGAGCACATGAAGTCAGGCATGATGAGCGGGTCACGCGTCTGTGTGCGTGTGTCTCATCGTAGAGCTGTAGTTGTAGCTGACGCACAGGAATAAATTAAACCGTTGATTTGGTACACTCAATTTGCCCTTCTTGCAGAGAGAAATCTGCAAACATCTCTAAAATAGTTATAGCATTCTGTATGTTCAGATGTTGGCTATCAAGTACAAATCACAGCCTATTTGAACTTTAGAAACGATTTTCCTCACCACAGCTTGCTCAGAAGTGCTTTTTGAATTAAAATGCATGTTAGGTTATACATTCAGGAATAGTCTTTTCAAGATTCTGTGTATCTTAATGTTGTCTTTTGTTTCTCACATTGCTTCTCTTAGTTTTATTTTAACATTGTGTGTCTTATGTTAAACTGTTTGATTTGCATTGCTGTTACAATATGCTATACAAATAAACGTACCTTGATGTAATTGGTAAGCTGATATACAAGTAATTGTACCTATGTTACCTTACATAGAGAGCTTTAAGTGTAGGAGGTTTATTTACAATGTTGTATTATGATAATATAAGAAGTAGAAGTAGTGATATACACCACACTGTCTTTTTTTTAATTTATAGTCTATGCTTTTAGTGTATGCTCTAAATAAAACATAATCTCTTACTCAATATATTGTAATTTTGAAAGACATGAAATGCAGCCTTTGGACTGTAGTACCTTGTTTATGTCACTGAGTGGCAGTATCACACCACTAACCCCTCCCTCTAAGTTAGATGATAACTTAATGTAGGCCTACTACATCCATACATGATAATAAGAGTTATTTTCCTGTTGTCTTTTACATTTCATGAGCCAACATTTCCACGGAATAATATGGTGTTAAACATATTGTATAATGATGTACAATAATACAATATGAGTCAAAGTTTCTCACAGTCACTTCACAAATATATACAAAATAATGAACATAGAACAAGCAAAAGGCTTAATAAAATATAGAGAGACTACAGAGTACTTCACTCGCAGGAACATCTACCAAAACACAGTATGAAATTATAAAATTGAAATGTAACCGAGCAGCATGACTAAAGAATTGAGTGAATAGGATACACTCATTCTGCTGGCAAAATACTAGCAATCTATCATCTTGCTGGGAAAATCATGATCTTTTTTTGCTGTTACCAGGCAACCAAGGCTTAATACGTCGTGAGGACAAGCTTTGGAGGACCACGGTGCATGTAGAGGAGCAGCTGCCCACCTCCACCACTCTCACCTGGGTTAGTCAGCAAGATATGCTGCATTGCATCAAGAGATTTGGCACACTGCTGGAGATGAACTCAGTTTCTGTCACACACTGGAAAACAAGACGTGTTAATGACGACATTCAGTTATAAACTCTGTATATGTATAGATGGAGTATTATGCATCATGCATTTTAGCATTTAATAAATAGTTAATTAATTTCTCTGGAGTTCATTATTGGTTTTTCTTATCACTGGTTTTCATCTCATTACCTATCCCAATCTCCCTTATCTTGACAGGTAAATAAAGTCATATTCACACAATAAAAATCTTCTGTTCTTATCTGGAAAAAGTTGTATCCACTAAAATTCAGAGGCCCAAAGTATTTCTATGTCCAGTATTAATAGAGCATCTGCTCTAAAACATACATTAGTGTGGAAATACGTTATTATAATTTGTAAGCCAACCCTACACACTAGCACAATTTGTTTTTACACTTCTCTCTGTCAATCACCAGAGTGGGCGTTGCATCATTTCTGAAAACTCCAATGTAATGAGTTGCTTTTTTTCAGTGCTGGCATGGGTACTGCCATGTCATGCAAAGAAAATCTGAAAGGGCCAATGGCATGGCAGGCAGTGTGGACAGATGGTTGGTCCAGCTCAGACGTACAAGGAGAAGCCCCGGCAGAACGCATGAATCATCGTTCCACCAACTGTTCCCCTCAGCATGTCTTCAGAATCCAAATCACCCACTCATTGTTGTTATGGCCCGGCAAATAAAATATGTAATGTTGGAGAATCAATCCAACATCATGATAAAGTGATGCTAAACCTTGACGCAGGACTGTATCAGTAGATGTTGGACATGTGCTCTGGACAGTAAAATATTTATGATCTAGCATTAAAGGTTATGGTGTTCCTCAAGAATATGCTGCAGTCCCTTTCACTTCATCACTAGTTGTGGACAGCATGCCAACAAAGCTTTTCACTGCAGGACAGAGTTGTGTGTTTTATCTTTGTGCGATTCAGGAAAAACTACACTTTCCACAGCAGGGTGGATTGTCAAGAGTTTTGAGATTGAGCATCCTGCACACTGCTCTTGCTCAGCCTCACAATGTATTGATCATATTCTGCTATGTTCTTTTCTCATGACACAAGAGCAACATGCATCTCAGATAGTTGGACGAATAACTCCTTTGAACGAAATCCAGAATTTAAAAACATATTTGATTTCAAAAGGATATTATTTGTATTTTTAGATGAGCATAATGGAAAAAGACAAAGACTTCAACGTGTCATTTAAAATTATAGGCACATGGCAATATTATAAAATATATTTGTTTTTCATTTAATCTATTTCTACTTGAATTGAGGAAATAAACTGCACATTAAGCAGGTTTTTCAAACTAATACACACCCAGCAGCATTGCTGCTATGATAAGAATCAGGATAGCTGAAGGAGAGTAATGTCAATTACCTTTGACCTCTAAAAAAGAAGTTATTTTATCAAAACATGCACCATTTATGTTTGTGTCCCTTCCAAGCTTAATGCTCTTTCACAATGTGACATTTTTTCCTGTGATAATATTCAATTAAAAAGGTTGGACATGTTTTTTCCTCTCTCCTGCTGTTACTACATTTTCTTCGGAATATCAAGAGAGCATCCACATTTCCCCAATGTGTCTTTTCAGTGGGAAACCTCCTCTCATCCTGACACTGTCTCCATCCCTTCACTGCAGATACAAGGCAACAAATATCATATTGGCTGGCAAAGCAACTGCATTTCTGATTCTGCAGTTCAGCCTCAGCAGCACCAGGTAGCCTTTGCTCAAAGGTAGCAGCAGGTAGATGTCAGTCAAAGTTGATGGATGTGCGGATTGGCTTGTTTCTGCCCCCGGGGCTGCAGGCTCCTCCTCCCTTCCAGAGTCCTGAGCTTGTTGCAGACAGTGTGCGCTCTCAGGTTACGCGTGTGAAGTTGTGGACTGGAGGATATCGAAGACACGCAGCCACTTAGAGTAGGAGGAAAGTACAGGCTCTATTCTGACGTTTCACTCTTTGAATCTGGGGAATACAACCACGCAGCGGCTGCATGGGAAACAGCAAGAAAACGACTTTGTGGCATTTAACTGGGAGACCAAGCATACCCAACAGTATGCGGTGCAGTTATGGCAGGCAATGGTAAGACAGTCGTGAGGACGCTGGAGGATTTAACGCTTGATTCTGGTTATGGTGGAGCCGCGGACTCGGTCAGGTCGTCCAGCGTGTCGCTGTGCTGCTCCGACACGCATCAGTCCATCGTGCATGGGGGTAACGGCTGGCATCTGACAGAGTCCATGCACAGCAGACAGAACAGTTTGGAGACAGTCAACACCGTCCTGGCGGAGGACACGGACATACTGGAGTGCTCGGGTCAGTGCGCCAAGCTGCCCGAGCTGGAGGACGTGCCATGGAGCCTTGGCGAGGTGGAGGGCGCACTGAGGAAAGACGAGGAGCTGATGGTGGGCGACCCTCCACCCGAGGTGCTGGCGCGGCTCTCCGCTCTCATCAGCAGCGCTCTGGTGAGGGTGGCCCGGGAGGCGCAGCGGCTCAGCCTGCGCTACGCCAAGTGCACCAAGCACGAGATCCAGAGCGCCATCAAGGTGGTCCTCTCATGGACCATCTCAGTGAACTGCATCACGGCGGCCCTCAGCGCCCTGTCCCTCTACAACATGAGCACCGGGGACAAGTTCAGCCGCGGGAAGTCGGCGCGCTGCGGGATGGTGTTCTCGGTGGGCAAGTTCTTCAGGTGGATGGTGGATAGCCGGGTGGCGCTCAGAATCCACGAACACGCTGCCATATACCTCACCGCCTGCATGGAGAGTTTGTTCAGAGAGGTGTTCAGCCGCGTGCTGCGCAGCGCGCTCGTGGAGAGGGACAACGGCGTGCCCAAGTTTACGCTGGAGTCTCTGGAGCAAGCCATCAACAACGACTCTGAGATCTGGGGGCTGCTGCAGCCATATCAGCACCTCATCTGTGGGAAGAACTCAAGTGGTAAGCTCAGTGCCAACCAGGTGTTATTTGTTTAAACATGTGAAAGAATGTGATTTGACCCTCTTTTGTCACCTCTGCCCAGTACCAGCCAATTTGGCAATATCCACCATAATCTAACTTAACTTTACCCCTGAAACAACTCACACCTTATTCAGAGGGAATTCCTACTAGAAATATCTAGGAACAAGTGACTGCACAAATGGTGACAAATAACTGAGTGATGATCTACTGGAATGTGATTGGACAATCTTTTGTCACTTTTGTGCTCCAAGCCTATCTACATCACTACACTTGTAAAATCCTCCATCATGTAAGCCAAACCGTATTCACTTTTCCCAGTTCCACTTTATTCTGATGAATGTCTATGTGTTTTGACAAGAAACATCTAGAAACAAGTTGCTGCATCTTTAAACCAAAAAATGGTGACTCAGCTGGAAGTGATGAGTCTTGACAGGAGAAAACTGCATTTTCTATCACAACAACACACTCATAAACCTCTATGCTAAGTGGTATTCATATCTTTGAGGAGAGTATGGTTTCAAATAGCATTTTTGATTGATTTTTAAGAGTATGTGATTGTGAGAATATTCTTCACAGTGCATGAACATGATAATCTGCTCAGTTGGAAAGTATATGACTGCAAACAGTGTAATTATGTTATAGGGAATAACAACTGCTTAGCACGTGTAATTCACATCCAAACAAAAGGACTTGACAGTCTCTTGAATATTTATTACCCCCAGCTTAGACCTCAAGGCCCACCTCTGAAACAGGAGCTGCCTATTATTAAAGCCCTGGGGCAAGAATAGGTATTTGGTTAAAAAATATCAAACAGGCTCAAACTTCTATTTACTTTGAAACTGTTGTGCTCTCAGACTTTCATTTAAGACGGCAATATTAATGATTGTTTTGCCTTGCGTGTGTAATATAGCTGATATGTGCGTCGGGATTTAGCAGAAACAGGCTTTGTGTTTATATTGTTTGCTGGCCTCGTTGGTTATGCTATTACTGTCTCACTCCAGAAGGTGTAAGCTGTCAGTGTGGGCTGGCCCTCTTATCCAAAGCCCTCAACGAGTTGGCTGGAACTATAAAGCAGAAGGGACTTGAAATGTTATTCTTCCAGTGAGAGCCAAGCAATATTGACCAAATAATCATATTGCAGCTCTTTTGCTAATTGTTGAAGCACCATTGTTTTTTACTTTCAGCAACTTATTAGAGGTGGTAAACAAAGATGCTCAGGGGATTTTGTACATGTGAATAAGTCTTCTGGATGAGCTGCATGTGCATCTCTAACAGCAGCAGAAAAGATTGTTCAAGAAGCAGTCAGAAGAAAAATTGATCTGAAACAGCACTAGGTTCCCCAGGGATATGACGTGATTTGAGATTCAATGTCAATGGATGCGGCTTTTGCTCACACAACAAGTTATTTTATATAATCCAGAGTCTTCAATTTCTGTCATGCAGAACTCATAGACCAATAATCCGCAGCCTAATGCACCAACATGGCAATAGGATCAGAGCTTAAGCAGTGAGTTGATGCCTCAAGCAGAAATGGCAAACATTAGGATGGTTCAAGCTTCTCTTATTTTAATATGTGCTGTATTACATCATAACCAACTGAAAACCTTTGATATTGTGTCTGTTACAAAAAAAAGTCAAACTAATGAAGACAACGTAATAAAGCCACATGTAAAGCAAGGTTTCTTGTGAATTTGTAGATTACACTTGAGTTTGATCAGATTTTCTGAGCTACACTCACAGAAATGAATCATGGTAGAGTTTATTTTTAAGCATTTAAATCTATTTTATTTTATTTAAATACTCATATTTTTTAAATGTATGTATTGAAATTAATTATAATCTGTATAATTCCTGTCAATTCTAAAATATATTGAATTACTTAGAGGTTAAACAATAGCAGTACGTCTTTTTTTTCATTTCTTTTTTCATTTGTATGCATTAGGATACCTCAATGTTTGATTTCATCATGCTACAATTCCATGGAAAAAGGATAGATTATAATATTGAATTTTTGCACAGCCCTAGATTAATCAATAATGGAAATCATTAGTTTCAGCACTAAAGAAATATACCTTTCATTATCAATTAACCTGCTAGTTATTTTCTTAATAAATCCATTGATCTAAAAAAAAAAGAATCTTGGTGATAGACAGAATGCTGATCACAGTTTTACTTCTAAATTGGATGTCAAACATTTCTTCTCAAAATCTCCTCATCCATCCTCTTTAAGAAATCCTGTGATTTTGATATTTGGCCTCGGTGCAGATGCTGCTCACGACTGTTGCTTTGTCTTGAAATTGCAGCAGAGAAATGGGGACTCCTCTGCAGACAGGATGCAGAGCCCAGCGTGCACCCCCCCCCACTCCCACCCGGTGTGATGGTGCAGAGGAGGCTACAATTTGCACTCAAACAAAACTGCATGATGTCATTCTGTGACAGCAAGGAAGGCAACGCACTGTTTTTTTATGGTGACTTTCCATTTTATATCCAACATTTTAATAAGCTGGATTCGTCACTGTTGGGTTCATGACCAAACTTAGAGAAGAATAACTCATTGAAATGTCACCTTTGAAAATGATAAATTGGGTCTGAGTATTCACTCAAATGTCTGTTGGTTCTGATATTCTCTGTTTTCAGCCTTTTCAAACAAAGCTGACTGAGACCATGAGATTAATGTATGTTTAGTAACCGAGAGCATAGTCGCACTACTTGCCTTCATTTCCCTTGGTTAACAACAGCAGTGCAGCACATAATGAACTTCCACACGTCTCTCTGCTCTCCCACATACCGTAGGTTCGTTACAGCTTATTTGCTGACTGATTAGAAGAGCTAAATGTAGGATTTTCTTCACTTCCTTTGCTGCTACTGTCTTAACCGCATTCTGTTACTTTTATAACATTTGTGTGCATATTCAAGTCGTGCTTTGATTTGTGTGATGGCCGAGTTTTCGACGAGTTAATAAAAATCTTCAGGGTTTTGTCTAAACCGGGTAACAGGGGCGCTGTGCCCTCTTAATTTCAGCGTGCGCCCTCATACCAAAATGCCGATTTTCCCTGTAAGATCTTAAAGTGACACCAGAAAACAATATTTCTGTCTGTCAAAAAGTGTATAATTACTCAAAAAATATGAACATTGTGTCAAAAAGACCATCAGACGGCACTTTGTTTTTACTGAGCTCCGACGTCACGTTGTTGTTTACATCTACGGCGCTATCTTGTTCTCGCAAGAATTTATATATTGTATACACAAGATCAGCGCCCTCATACTATATTTGTATATAACATATCTTTTGGTCTGATTTGTGTATCCAAATGCTTTTCAGATTTAAGGCACAAAATGCCAGTGTTGCAACTAGTTTTTTGTGTTTAACCGCAAACTAGTGACATCTCGATTCATCACAAATGAACTCCTCTGGACATGCCACTGTCCTATTTCCTAGCAATGACGCAGGTAACTCCCAAGAAAAGCAGCAGTTTGATAATGTTTGTTTACTGGACTGCCACATCCTGACTTCATTCTGTATTTAAAAGCTGATATGATGTAATGCTACACTGACAAAAGCAACAATACATGCATTGTACAAAGCAGTTTGCCTAGTTGTGAGATATCGGTCAAAATATTTTGTGTCAAATTGTTGCCTCCTGACTTATATTTCTCTGCAGGGATTCTGACTCTTTCTTCCCAGTCATGTTAACCCACCGATGATAAGTGACGTCAGAGACAACAGCCTGGTCATCATCTTCCAAACCTACGGGGGCAGCGTTTAAATTTGGGATCCCGAATGACTTGATTGTTTCTGATTATCATTTGCTGTGACCTTCCCCATAGAGCTTACCCAAGCTCTGCAGGCCAGATGACACAACATAATGGAATTGCGTAGCCTGCTAGTCAGTCTATTAAATTAGCAGTGGGGTTTCTGCTCTCCCTTCTTCTCCCTCCACTCTCTGTCTTTCACACCATCTTTTATTGTGTTGCCTGCTAGAGGGCAGCCTGCATGTTTGCATATTTATTTTCCACTGTGGTTTTTAATAAGCTCAACTCATATCCACACGATCCAGGCAAAGCCGTTTGTTGTCCATTCTGTTATTATTTTCCTCCTGTCCTTCCCCTCCTTTGGGGTGGACTGGCAGATGAGCTGACAGATTGCTGTCATTCAGTTGGAGATGCGAGTGCCCGGGCAGGCGAGCTAGTGGTGATGGATTGTTATGTCATGGTAATTTCATAAGACCAAAGACTGCAGCACCCACCCCGCTGCACTTCCAGCCATGATCAGTGTTTACGAAGTTATGTGAGGTTGTTTTCGGGGCTTAGATTTATTTCATGAGTTGCCACCAATACTACATTTGCTTGAAAATATTAAGTTCCACTTGATATGCTTCGCTGTGATTCCACTGGTCGGGACTCCACAAACACCTATAACTCTGCTCCGGGCAAGTGGGGCTGGGATGTTGCGGTTTTATTACTTCCGTGTCATTGGAGCGTGGATCTACTTCCATTTTCAGAAAGTAGGTGAAAGCACTGGGTCAGGATGAGATAATGAGAATAGTGTGAGAGCAGTGAACGCTCAATGTTGTGAGGGAGTAGAGAGCGTGAGGAGAAACCAGGCTGGAGTGTCAGCTGGTGGAGGTGGTTGGCGCAGGTCCCTCAGAGATATAATTATCCAGCTCTCTTTAATCAACGCCTGTGCTTATCTGCTAGTCATTAAGATTAGGAATTAGCAGCGGGAAAAACCAGGGAGCTGCAGAGAACAAAGATGGTCATTCCTTTCAGTGATTTTTAATACCCTTTCTTGTGCAGGTCCACGTTCGTATGTTTGATCAGATCCGCCTGTGAGGTCCAGATGAAATGTCTTTCAGGAAAACAGACCGTGAATATCATCATTGAATAGTGCCACAAAGAATCTTGATACGTCACTCATTTCGACACCCTCAACAATAGATGCCTGCATGGTTAATCAGAAAAACAGCATGGAACACAAGACAGCATGCTTGTGAATGCGAGTCAGCTTTTGCAA